GGGGCGCCCGCGGGCTCGCTGGTGGTGTCGGCACTGAGCGGCTGCCGGCGAGACTCCGAAGCGTTGGGGTTTAATCCTGGTTTTGCTCTTCTATGCCTTTCCGGGAGGGCACCACACCGGCATCAGGACCGGCCTCGCTGCGATCCCCCGGGGAAACCGAGGCACCGCGGCCCGGCGCCGAGAGGGGCCCATGGGAGACGCCGGTGTGGAAAAAAGGGAAAACTGGGAGGATTTGGCACATCGTGGCTGCGCCCGGCAGCTCCTGGCGTGCTTCGGGAGGGCGGCTGAGTCCTTTTGGCTGAAATCCCGGGCGGGCACGAGGTGGGGGCTGCCGTCCCCGCTCCCTCCCCGCGTCACCGACCCGATGCCTCTGGGAAGGAGGGATTTGCCAGGGGGACGATGGCCAAAAGCCACTGGGAGCCGGGCGAGGATCGCTCTGCATAAATTACCGCGGGGTTAAAGCACTCGAGGTTGGCGTCTCCTCCGGTTGAAGGATCAGGCAGTTCAAGTTTGGGCTGAAAAAGCCAGGAATCTGCAAAGTCCAAGAGAGGCCGGGTTACGGAACGGCACAAGCAGTAGCTCGTTTGGGTGTGTTAATTAGCGGTGGTGCCTCAGAGGGGGGCAGCGGGTGCTCAGGGCTGCCACGGCCACCCGCACGGCCATGTACTCACACGCTACAAGACCCGGGAGCTGCTCCACTGTCGCTCCCGACTGCCCTTGGACCTCATCTCCTGGACAGCACCGGTCTGTGGGGAGGGCGCAGAGATGTGTCACTGCCGCTGTGCCATCCCATCACCCAGCTGTGCCATCCCATCGCCCAGCTGTGCCATCCCATCTCCCAGCTGTGCCTGGCCATCCCATCGCCCGGCTGTCCCATCCCATCTCCCAGCTGTGCCATCCCATCGCTCAACTGTGCCATCCCATCGCCCAACTGTGCCATCCCATTGCCCAAGCATAAGACTTGTCACCCAAACATAAGGCTGCTTCACCCCACCATGAGACCTGTCACCCAACCATGAGACCCGTCACCCCATCCTGAGACCTGTCTCCCAACCCTAAGACCCATCACCCAACCACGAGACCCTTCACTCAACCCTGAGACCCGTCACCCAACCGTGAGACCCGTCACCCCACCATGAGTCCCATCACCCAACCCTGAGACCCGTCACCCAACCACGAGACCCGTCACCCAACCGTGAGACTCTACCACCCCAACAGCGACACCCACCACCCAACCATGAGACCCACCACCCCAATAGCAACACCCACCACCCAACCATGAGACCCACCACCCCAACCGTGCGCGGGGGTAGGGTACCATGGGCAGGCCTTCGCCCGCGGCCATGTCGCCAGAGCCGATGTGCGTCAGGTGGACGAAGTTCATGGGCTCCCCAATCATGGAGCGGTCGATCCGTCTCCTCCTCTTCTTCTACAAGCAGGTGAAGGCCGTCAGCCCCCGCTGAGCCCACGGCCCCAGGACCCTAAACCCTCCCCAAACCTGCCAGGCTGAGGCTACTCACGGGCTGTGGCTTCTCTACGACGCAGCAGCCCAGCTTGTGCCAGAACTCGCTCATATTCGCGGTGGCGTCCAGCTTCCCTCCCTGCCGGGCTGGCTGCCGGGGGGGCTGCGCCGGTGCAGAGACCCCCGCGAGGTCACTCCATGGGGACGGGTAGGGGGACTTGGTTGAGGTGGCCGAGCTGGTGGGGATGCACCTGGGGGGAGGCAGAGCCGGGAAAGGGGTGCGTCACGAGTAGGAAGAGTTTGACCCCGGGCACAGGGACGGATTGGATGATGGGGGGAAGGGGACAGGAGGGTTGGGGATGTTGGGGTGCAGGATCAGCCCCAATCCCTGTCTGGGGGCTGCCCCTCCACTGCCCACCCGGGTGACGCATCAGACTGGGGAAACCGAGGCACGGCATGGAGAGGAGCAGCTGGCTGCAGGTTTGAAGGTGGAGGGGTGATGCCTGCAGTCCTGACTCCCCAAATCAACCCTAAATCTGCTTCCCATCAACCAAACAGAGCCTCAGACCCCCAGGGGACCCCGGGGATCGCACAGAGACCTCCAGAGACCCCGGGAATTGCACAGAGACCTCCAGGGACCCCAGGGATCCCACAGAGACCCCCAGGGACCCCTGGAATTGCACAGAGACCCCCAGGGACCCCGGGGATCACGCAGAGACCCCCAGGGACCCTGGGAATTGCACAGAGACCCCCAGGGACCCTGGGAATTGCACAGAGCCCTCCAGGGACCTCAGGGATCCCACAGAGACCCCCAGGGATGCCAGGAATTGCACAGAGACCCCCAGGGATACCGGGGATTGCACAGAGACCTCCAGAGACCCCGGGGATCACACAGAGACCCCCAGGGACCCCAGGGATCGCACAGAGACCCCCAGGGACCCCAGGAATTGCACAGAGCCCTCCAGGTACCTCAGGGATCGCACAGAGACCCCCAGGGACCCCAGGCATCACACAGCCACCTGGAAGCATTGTCCCCACGGCCAGGGCAGGATCCGGCCCCGGCCCCCACCCCGGTGCAGGACGCAGCTGAGGGGTGCTGCGGCAGG